CCGGGTGTGCACACATCATTTTCCTAATAGATTATGTCATAATTATAAATTCATAATTTTATATAAGATTGTAACTATATCATTGTGATTTAAAAAAGATAATGAAATTGGGATGAGGTTTTCAATAATTAATAGTTAAATTTTTTTTTTCAAAAAAAAAAATTAATAGTTAAATTGATAAAAGTATAAATTGATTATATTTACTTACACACATCAATTATTCAAAATGTTAATTATTCATCTCTCCACTATAAATGGATGAGATTTGTCACCATCATTGATAAACTTTCAAATCAAGGGGAGAGGATTCTGTTTTGGTTGGATAAATCGGTTGGGGGTAGGCCTTTAAAAGATGTATTTCCTCAGTTATTTGCATTGACTTAAAAATGGGAAGGTGAGGGACATGGGTGAATGGAAGGGTGACACTTGGGTCTGGAAGTCCAAATGGAGAAGGAGGTGAGCGAAGCAAATGAGTTAATGTTGTTGCTAGAAAATGTGAGATAAAAGGAGGATGGGGCGGATGTGTGGGGATGGAAACATGATGTAGGAGGTGAATCTTCAGTGAAAAAAGCATATAACATGTTATTATCTGAGTTATGTTTATAAGATGGAAATTTGTGTAGATTGATTTGGTGTAAATATATTCCATCAAAGGTTAGCATAATTGGGTGGAGACGTTTCGTTGATAGATTGTCTTTAAAAAGAAGAATTTGGCTAAGAGGGGGATTGTATTTCAGGTTGTGGATCTTGAATGCCTGTTGTGTAATCTGGAGTTAGAAGGGATTAATCATTACCATAAATAAAACTCTCTATTTAATATGTTGTTGAATATAAGCTTATAATTTTACATTGTATTGTAATTATTAAATTAACGTAAATAAAACTTTCTATGTAATATGTGTTGTAATTATCTTTTTAAAATTAAGGTAAATTGAGAATAAAAATATTAAATAAAGTGGATAATTAAATTTAAACCCCTCAAATTAAAAATTAAATTTACTAAAATTAAATGAATGGAATATAAATTTACAATAGTACAATACAATTATAACTATATGATTTTTGTTTCATAACTTAAATTATGAGATTTGTGTATCTGATTGTCTATATTATAATCTACTTTTTACCTATTATACTGATTATTGTTTGTAAACCAGATCTATATAGATTTTTATGAATTAATTTTAAAAATATTGTATTAATTTTTAAATCGAGCCTTTAAATGATGATGATATGTATTTAGTAATGGAAAAAATGCTTTTTAAATCAAAATTTACATTAAAAGTGTATTTTTTACATATTATATTGATTATTGTTTGTAAAC